TACTTTTAATATTTTTAATTAAACTACAATATTTTTAAAATAAGTTTCATTTACAATAATATTAATAAAAAACGCCCTCTGTAACATAGACTATTATATATATAATCATTAACCTTCTTAAATATAATTTTATCGAAATGTGTTTATATTTTAAAAAAGTAATAATTAATTTGGTAGAATAATTTTAAAAAATCTCTTAAAAGATACCGTTAAATAGTTGTGAAGTTACCTTCCGAGAGTGACACTCTCGCCAAGAAGGATCGCAGAAAGAATGATTGTAATGATAAGAGCAAAGGGTGTGGACATGGCTAGAAAAACTGGTCCTTTCTTCTCAATAACCCATGCTTGAAGGCAATACGTAACAGCAGTCACCACAATACCCTACACCAAAAAGTTCCATATAAACATTTTTTGTCTCTCTACTTTCACGATTTAGTCATTGAACTTACTTCTAACAATTCGATCCTCAAATTATAGTATGTAACAATTTAGTCCTAGTAGTTTTAAATTTGCAATGATTTAGACCCTATGATGAAATTTGTTATTAAATTTTTTATACATTTAGATGATATACTGATGAAGAATCAAAGGTGTGTTTATAAGTTACAAAGAGTACTAAGTCATTATAAGAGAAAAATCGATTATTAATTTTGACAAAAGATTTCATGGTAGGGTCTAGATTGTTACAAATTTTAAACTATATATACTAAAGTTCAGGGACTAAATTGTTACCAATTTAAAGTACAAGTACTAATTAAATCGTTACAAACTAAAATTCAGGGACTAAAATAGTTGCTTTAGCAAAAGTATAAGGATCAAATGTGTGTTTTTTAACCAAGAATCTTTTTTTATTATTATTATTATAAAGGATCGAAATACGAAAATGAAAAAAACTAAAGAAGAGAAATTTACACAATATGCCACTGCGAGAAGCCTAACATTCCAGCCAAGTTTCCATTCCTGAGGGTCTCTCTCGAAAGCAATCGCAATAGCAAATGATTGAAATGAGCTCAGAAGACACTGAAGATTTGTCAACATAAGCTTCGAAGGGTAGCTTTTCAATACGAATGCCTGTAATTTTCAATAATGTCAAATATTATATAAATGGATAGTAATAATATACAAGTGAGAAAACAATATGGACTCGATCCTAACAGCTAAAAGTTCAAACGAACATCCGGTCCAAAATGAGATTCAACCAAGATCGATGAGCCAAGAGAGTCACAATCTTGAAAAACATATTAAGGATCTTACATTTATAAGATAAGGGACCTAACAGAGGAATGAGCTACTTCTCTGGTTTAAAATTAATTCATGGATTAACAACTAGAAAAGCAGCTCATATCTATCATAAACCTTTGTTAGATCCCCTATTGAATCTCGATTGAGTACTGATTGAGTACTAATAGTTTTAGTTCTTTTATACGTGAAGAAGGAGAATTGATACCTGAAAGACGATCCAGATGCCCCATAAGGTATTGGAAGCGAGCATCAAGAAGCAACCCTTCAACCAGGACTTGGTTGATGGAGCGGTAACCGAACGGTGGTTATCGTTACGAGTCAAGAAGAGATGGTGATGGTTAAAGAAGTTCCATTGAGGGCCTTGGTAGAATGCCAACATCCCCACACCTCCCATGCACAATAATATTCCTGCAAGCTTTGCAATTCCTGCTATTGACTTTAACCTCAACACCTCCATCCTATAAATTCAATGAGTTAATTTCCATATTAAATTTTCAATTTATCAAACTTTAATGAAATTAAATTGATGGATTAAAATAAATAGGGCTCCTCGAACCAGGAGAGAAGTAAGAAAATTAAATTTCTCAATAAAGAAAAATATTAAATTCTATGTTCACGTCTACTTTTCATTCGAGTTCATTTGAATTTTAAGAATGGAGGATAAAATAAAGATTTTAATTTTTTTTTCTTTTAAAAAATAACACTTTAATTTTTCTTTTTTAAGAAAAAGAAAGTTGAGAAAAAGACAAAATGAACTCCACTAAGTAGAGAGGAACTTTTAAAGAATGATTTTATTTTTTTTATAAGGAAGACTACAAATTTTTGTTGATTAAAATAATATNTAGTGCATTTCAACCATGAAATGACCCAAAACAAAGAGCCTTTCATTTGTACGTTTCCATGATTACCACATATATAATTAACCAATTGATGTCTTTTTTCTTTTTTGGAAAAATAAAGCTTATATAGTAATTTGCTTTTCACCCCTCGTTATTATAGTGTTTTCTCAAAGTTCAATTGGTTTAACATTTAGAGAGATTTTTCGATAGATGTAGTTAGCGTGGAAGATGAGAACTTCAAGTCGCTTGATAATAATTTTATTTTTAATTTAATATTTTAAAATTTTAATTTCTCTTAAAAAAATATTTGAATGTTTGACACTAAATTTAAAAAATATAATATGAAACTTGACTCAGATTTATGAAGCAATAAACAAATAGTTCATTAGATATTTAGTTTAATGGTGAACTCAAATTTTTATCATAACCTAATACTTTCATGCCACCAATCCGAATATGTCTTGATGGTTAAGATACCTACTTCAGATTAAAAGGTCGTAAGTTTAAATTTCTAGCTCTATACATGTTGTACTAAAACAACCTATACTAAGTAATCTGGAGAGAAATTCAGTCATCAAAAATAGTATCCAATTTACAAGAATTGAATATCCAAATAGTTTTTTTTTTTATTTTTTATAATATTGAAATTGGCTTTGTGATGTTGGAATCATGGCTTTTTAAGTAAATGGGCAGGCAAGGAGGACTACTTTATTATTCTCTATGTTTTTTCTTCTATTCTTCTTCTTCTTTGCTTTTTCTTATCACTCAAGAATCCATCTCATCAATCTTTTCCCAAAAAATGAAAACTTTATTAATTTCCCATTTAACCATTTTTCTCACACCATGTTTGGCTCTTCAATTTCTCACTATTTTTTCACTAAAAATAGGGTTTCCACTACATGTGTTTTTCTTCAACTTCAACTTGCCCATTTTCCCATTATAATATTTCTCATTTTACTCCCCCACTTTCATATTGGAATTCATCTCAAATTTATAATTATGTTATTAAAATTATAGATTTTTGTTGGCAAGGAAGTTTGGGAAAAATGTAGTTTTCAAATTTTTTATTTTATTTTATTTTTTTCTTTCACATTAAGAAAGTGAAAAGCAAACACAATCCTAATTTTTAAAAAATAGAAACTAATAAAGAGCCATAATGGGATGGTTCTATGTTTTTTCTCTCAAAATTGAAATTATGTCATGAGTCTAAGAGAAATGTGGATGAATATATAATATATATAACAAAATAGGTTATTAATTAAACAAGCTTTGCTTTTTTGAAAAGCTTAAAAACTAAAATAAAGTGGTTAATTATCAAACTGAGTAAAAATATTATAAATCAAGTATTTTGAAAAGTTCTTCTAATTATTTTTAAATTTTCCAAATTTTTTTTAATCATATAGGAATACCTCTAAAGAAGGAGTAAGGTGCCTTAACCGCTACGATATGAATTTACTCCAAAATGTTAAAATCACTTTTTTTTTTTAAATATCATAAACAGATTAGCTTTGGTGTATGTGTGTATATATATATTTTAGTACTTCTATATTTTCTTGAACTCTGACTCAAACTGTACAGAAATCCTTATGGAATCTACTTCTTTTCATTTTTTTTTACTTTTTAAATAGAAATTATAGAGAAATACCAACTTTTAACTTCTTAGAAAATGTTACATTCCACGTATTTAAACAAAATTAAATAATCAATCTTTAATCACCCTAAAACCCCAAAACTCTAACTTTAATTAGTAAACTAGGTAAGTTTAATCATTTCTCGCCATACATAAATAAGTAAAACATAAATTCCTCAACAAGAAAGAGAAAGAAAGAACCACATTATATTACGATAGTTTCGGACGACATTATATTATGATTGTAATAGTTCTGAATGAGATATATAACCTTTTAGTTTAAACTAATAAAATTGCAAAATCAAAACTTCTCCTTACCATCTCTCATCCCTGTACATCTTTAAAATTTTTCAAAAATAAAATTTAAAAATTTAAAAATTTAAATCTCATTTCGATCCATTAAATAACTTTTGGTTTGTAAAACATACCCGAGGAGGAGAGCGATGAAGAAGGTGATGACAGGAAGGCAATTTGTAGTGGCTGCAGCCAAAGTTGCTGACGTGTACACAAGAGCAACCCCATAAAGATTTAAGCAAATGGCTATCCTGCAAATTACCAAAACAACCCCAAATTAAGATTATATTAACACCTCACTTACATTAGGGTCTCCGAATTCAAACTTACAATTAAAACCCATGGTACAAATAATCATTTCATTTTAAACTTTAAATTTTTTATTCTAAAAGTTATGCATACTTCCTCCCAAGTTATTTATTTTGGATGCTTCCAAATTTCAAACGTAATATAATAAACAAGATCCCATTTTATTTTTTATTTTCAAACTCTCAATTAGATTTAGAAAATAACTGCGGTAATTTAACGATTGAGATAGCTGTGTAAAACGGAAGGAGGAAGGAGATTGATGCCGTTAGTATCATACCCGAAGAGAGAGAGCATAAAAATCTTGCAGAAGGTGAGGAACGAGAGGGGAGGCGCTGTTTTCCTAATAAAAGAACAGAAAATAAGTAGATTAAGAATGATCAACTTCTTAAAAAACAAGATGATTTAACTATTGAGTTATGCTCGTATTAATGTACGGAGAATGAATAGAAGTTTGATTAAATACGGTACCATTCGAAGAAAAAAGCTACGGGAGAGAGGAAGAGGGTGGCGAAGGCCTGGCGGTAGAAGACGAAGACAAAGTTGTTCATTCCGCCGTCAAAGGCGGCCTTTGAGAGCAGAAACATGGCGGCGTAAATGGCCTGAATCACCACCACCGCCGCCACAGCTCTCTTATCGAATTCCATCCTCACCAAAAACTTCAAAAACTTCAAGTTTCTTTTGTTGGCTTTGAAAGTTTAAAGTTTTTCTAAGTTTGTATATTCATATATCATCATTCATCAATCTCCCTCTATTTATACACACAAAAAAAGATATTATCAACCAAAAAAGACACACTCCCAAATTTGCTTCCGTGTATGTGCTATGCTACATCATTCATATGGGCCCCACCCCTCCTTTCCTCCTTCTTTCCCACCTTTTCTTTTTCACATCAATTTTACTCTTAATCTTTTATGGTTTTCTTTACAATACTATGTGGTCTCTTTCTTCATTGGTTTCGGTCTATGTAAGTCTAAAATCACTTGTCCTCGAGGGATAGTTTGGGTGGATTGAGATTTGAAGGAATATACTTGAAGTCTTGGATTCAAGTTACATGGAACGCAACCTTAACAAGTAATGACGCTTTGTATATATAAGAATATAGGAACAGTGTGCATATCCCAGATATAGGGACATAAAGGTCAAAGGACTATTGACTACAGAGTAATCAAATTAAAAAAAAAAATCACATTTTGAATTATGTGTTCTTAAAAAGTGACTATATTAATCCATATTTACAAAATTTTACCATAAATTCTATACACAATGAAAATTGCTCTTTAGTATAAAATTATGTCTATATTCTAGAAAATATATTGAGTTATAGTATCATGGCAAAATTGTGATAAAAAACAAAAAATAAAAGGGACCAATATAATTACTTTTTTAAAAAGTATGGGGACAAAAAGAAACGTTTCAAAACCATGGAGAATATAATAGACAAAAGTTGAATATAAACGAATCCAAGTAGACGCTTTGAAAGTATATCAACAAAGCTGAAAGTTATGTACAACAAAAATAGTATTTTTAACCTTTTTTCTTCTACTTCATTTGGGTTCTTAATTAAATCTTTCAAATTCTTAATTGTACTCTTCTTGTGTTAAAAAAAAATATTTTTAAGTGCTTTTTTTTGTAAAACAAAAATATATTAAGTGAAAAAGTTTAAATCGTTGTTTTGTTAGCATATTTATCACAAATCCAATATATTTGTCGATGAGTGGATTGAATTTCATGTGTTTTATAGTATATGAGTGGTATAGTCCATGTATTCTTAACAAAACTATAATTTAATAATATCTCAATTTTTTGTTAGCCAATTTTAACTTTTTCCTTTTTAATATTGAATCAATTGAAAACTCTTAAAAGATGAAATGGTAAAATTAAGATTGATAATTAAAAGATTAAAAAAAAGTATTTTATACATTTAGTCCAAATTTTTATAAGCAAGAAAGGATAACCTGTTATCATATTTGTGTGTGATTCTATCAACACTATCATGTAACAAAGGAGATTCACTCTCTAGAATTCCGATCTATGTAATTTGTCCTTTCTTTTTTAGTTAACTTGAATGATCGAAGTCTGCTTTAAATCAGTTAAATAGATTGAAGTAGAGTCATCAATTAAGCCAGTCGTAAGATGAATTTTTTATTTTGGTCCCTAAATTTTAAAAGCAATTATCTTCTTTGTCCTACAAGTTTAGAATAATTGTGAATTTAGGTGGAGTTCCTATCAAACTTTCCGTCACTTGACCATTGAAAGTTAATTTTACGTAAAATATGCATCTTAGTTTTGATTTCAAATATTTTATTTGAACCCTTAAAAACTTTTTTATAGTTTTTTTTTAGTTAATTTCCGCTAACTATTGAACAAATTTTGTATCAATTTAGTAACTCACATCTAACATCCCATGTGTGAAATTACATGCAATTTCTGGTCGTCAAATAAATAAATAATACAAAACATATTTGGGCCAAGAATGTGTTAAATAGATATAAAGAATTAACAGAATGATTATTTAAGTTTAGTTTCTTTGGTTGAAAATTTATAGACTAAAATGAACCCTCTTGCTCCAAGGACAAAAATAGGATTTAAACTATGAGTTAATAATTTTTTAAATGACGTGATAATGATTTATTAATTTTAGGGGATAAAAGTGGATGAAATATGCATTTTCTTTTTCTTTTTCTTTTTCTTTTTCTTTTTCACAAATTTTAGTAAATTGCATTAGGATAAGATGACGGAAAATTTAAGTGAAAAAGTTAATTTTAATATCCAACCAAATTTATTTATTTATTTATTTTTCTATTTGATGTTTTGAAAGAATTGAAAAATTAATTGTTGCATTCAACTTTCCGTCAACCGCCCCTTTCTAGACCCATTTTAGGTTTAGAACTTAAAATAATATTTACGTGTTGGAATTTTTATTTGGTATATTTGCGTTTATTTAGTTCTTAAAACTTTGTAAAGTTACACTTTCGTTATTGGGTTATTTTATATTTTTCCATTAAATCTCTATCATTAAAATTATTCTTAAATTTTGATACAAATATGTTAATTATATTTATAATTGTTGATTTGACATGATATTGAATGCTCGCCTGTTTTTTTTCCTCATTTCAACTATTCATTTGTGCCATATTTTGCCAAATCATTATTCGTTAGTTTGATCAACCTCTCATATAAATTTTTAAGTTAGGGTGTGGATGCGGTTAATTACAATTTAAAATATAAAAGAATAAAAAAAGGTGAAGGACATAGTTAAAACATTATTATTTTTTTTAATAGAAAGTAATTAAAAAAAAACTTTAAAGTGCAAGGGACTAAACAAACATATATTAATTTCCAAAGTTTAGGATTCAAATTATGGTTTAATCTAGATTTTATTTTGATTGTTTGATTTAATCTCTCAACTTTTAAATGTTTTGTCAATTTTTGTCCTTGGTTAGGAATTAAAACACAATATTTGAATAAGGTTGGGTGAGTCAAAAATGAAATAAGTTGAAATAATGAGGAAAAAATGCTCTTATAAACTAAATAGTCTTATGAATTTTTTAAAACAAAAAACAGAAGATAAAATCATTATTGAATGGAAGTTGTGAGCGTCAATTCGAGCATAGTTCAAAGCTCAATTGTTTCCCATCTTGTTCCTGCAATTGTTGAATAAAAAATATATATTGAAAAATAGAAACCACAAGAAAAAAGAAGGAAAGGTGATTCACTACTTTAACTTTTATTTTGGGGTCAAAAAAATGATATTCCCAATAAAACACACAAATCATCAATATGAGCTGTTTGCAAAAAAGACATCCATGCAATTGATGTAACCTAACAGCTACCATCAACAAACTTATCTCTCAAAAATACCAAACTTTAGGGAAAAAGAAAAATATAATTATTTCCATTTTGTATCCAAAAAAATTATATTTGATTTTGATCATCATCTATTTAAATTAAAACCATATTCCTTAGGACTTTAATACTTCACTTTTTTAATTGAAATTTTATTTTTGATATATTGAATAAGATAGATATGACGTATATACTTCATATTAAATATCAAATATAGTAAACAAGTTCTAAAGTTTGGTTGATGAACACTATTTTGTGGCTTGCATGATTCATGATCCAACTGAACCTCGGTTTAGCGTTGTAGAGGATTGATCTCACTTGCTGGGATGGTCGCATGGTGATGTGACATATTATGTTCGATAAGGCAACAAATGTAAAATTTTAAATCAACTTTTTTATTTTACCGAGTTTGCCTACGTATAATTTATCTCGTTGGCCTACTTCTTTATACAACTTATTGTAACATATATTGTATCAAATCATTGCTCTCGTTAGTTTAATCAACATGGTCACATCAACGTTATGTTAATGACAGTGCATTATTATAATGAAAATTTTAAGTTCTAGGAATTAAATATACGCACCAGTCAAATTGTATACGAGTAATTGTCATATATCTGAGTCCGATTCCGATTCCAGACAGTTTTAGTAAACAACATAAAGGAGTTCTGATTCCGATTCTAGAAAATTACTGGTAAACAGCATAATAAGGAATAACATTCTCATTCCGATTGATTTTCATTCCGATTCATTTCCATCCTGATTCTTAGTGGGTAAACAGGGCCTAAGATCAATCACAATGGTTTGTCACAGTTTGGTAATCAATATTACTTGATATATTTTTTTATATTAGAAAAAACCGTTGCACTTCATATCATCAATTATATTTAAAATGTCAACTTGAACATAGTTCAACTTGTATTTTTTTTAGTACAACATGTAGTGAGCTATGCTCAGGTTGGCGTATATACAGTTCAACTTATTAAGGCATATATTCCTAACTAAATATATAATTAACTTTTTTAGTACAATAATATAAGATAGTGAGAATTCGAACCCATGATCTTCTAAATAAATATGCCATACGTTTAGAGTTTCAAAATTGTTATTGCAATTTTTGCTATTTTATTACGACATTTTTATTTTTATTTATTTATTATTTATTTATTTTTTGCACCAACTGAAAAAATGGTCCAATATATTATTTGTTTGATGGTTAGGTATATTCAAATCCAAACTTTGGTCCGAAGCTATAAAATATATAACCCTAAAGGCTTCAATTGCTTTACATTAATTAGTCCACTTGATCGGCTCGAATCATAAAAATGCTAGGTTTAAATAGTATTTTTGTTAGTGTATTTTTTATTTTGATTTATTTGGGTCCCTTTATTTTTAAAATATTTATTGCGATCCTTATACTAATTTTTATTCATTTTAGTTTTTATACTTTCAAAACATCCCTTTGTATTTGATTCATATATTTTAAAAGTGACAATTTTGATCTTTATTTTAAAAAAATTAACACAAACTTTAAACACAATGACAACTATTTAATACAAATTTATGGCTACATTTTAAAAATTTTAATGAGTGAGGATTTTTTATTGAAATAAATGAGATAAAAATGAGAATAAAGAGATTGAAATAGTCACTTTTAAAAATACAAAAATCAAAATGAATCTTTCGAAATTATATAGACTAAAATGAATAAAAGTTAAAAGTATAGGACCAAAATGTGAGTTTTGAAACTACGAAAATGAACCAAAATCGTTACACGATGAAAATAGTATTTAAACATAAAAGAATTAAAACGTAATTGGTCAAAATCGAACATAGTTCAGTGATAATTGGTATATATCTCTA